GGCAGTAATCATTTTGCAAGAATTGCACAAAAGTGATGGGAAAATATTGAAAGGCCAAAAAGATATTAGAAGAAACAAAACATTACTACAAAAAGATGTATACAATCAGTGAATGTGGATAGGTTAGTTTGGAAACTGTATCTTCTGAATTCGATGTGAAAACCAAAAAGGCTTTGTGGAAGGGAGACATCTAGGGGAAATAACAAGACTGATTTATGATTTAATGGACTATGCAGAAACCTATAAACAATGTGGCTTACTTTCAGTGATCGGCTTCGAAAAAGCCTCCGATTCTGTGGATAGAAAATTCATGCAGAATGACTTAAAACGAAATTATGGCCAGAGTATTCAAAATTGGATTACAGTACTTTTGATGGGGCTGAATCTAGTGTTTTAGTAAATGGATATGGAAGTTCCTTCTTTCCAATAACAAGAGGTTGTCGCCAGGGGGGATCCAGTATCTCCTTATTTCTTTATTCTGTGTGATTCTTGCACTACTTATTAGAAAAGATAAAAATATTAAGAGTGTAAGTATGGGCAATATTATATAGAACATATTTTAGAGCAATTTGCAGATGACACTATCTTAACCCTAGATGGATCAGAAAAGTGACTACAAGCAGTTTTTAACATTTTAAGTTTTGTTTGCAAGATTTTCAGGACTCAAAGTGAATGCTGAAAAGACCAAATTATTTGGATTGGTTCTCCCCCAAAACAATCTCAGATAAAACTATGCAAGCATATAATTTAAAACTGGAAACAGACAAAATTTAGACCTAGAAAATATGCAAGACCTGAATTATGAAAATAACTCATTTCAATTGAGAAGTAATGAGAATGTGGTCAAGTAGAAATTTAACTCCTGTGGGAAGAATGTTCTTTTCAAATCTTTGCTACTTCCGAAACTAAATCACTTGTTTAGCATCTTTCCAAATCCATCTACTCCAACCACAGACAAGTTCCCCCAAACATATTTCGCCTTTATTTGAAAAGGGAAAAGAAATAAGATAAGGAGAAGCACAATGAAAAAAACAATTTCAATTTGGAGGAATAGGTGCACCAGACATACAAAATACTATCTCTGATCAAAAATTTAACTGGATAAGGAAAATAGTACAAAATCCACAAAAATATAAATACATAATAGAAAGATGTCTTCCATCAACTGACAGTGTTTGGTTGGCAGTACAAGTCTTTATAAAGACAAATGTTTTACCATATGTCTCAAATCTATTTTTGAGAGATGTACTACAAGGTGGGGCTGACAGATTCAGGGGATTCAGCAATCTGGTTGAATTACAGACCAAGTTTGATATGAAAGTGGACTATTTAAGATTCCAGGGTTTGCGAGTCTCAGTTTATGACTATAGATAAAAACATGTAAAACATAATTCACAGACACAGGAATGTCTTTTTTTATTCTTTAATTGTTTGAAGCTTGGAAAACTGAAAAGGCAGTAATCATTTTGCAAGAATTGCACAAAAGTGATGGGAAAATATTGAAAGGCCAAAAAAGATATTAGAAGAAACAAAACATTACTACAAAAAGATGTATACAATCAGTGAATGTGGATAGGTTAGTTTGGAAACTGTATCTTCTGAATTCGATGTGAAAACCAAAAAGGCTTTGTGGAAGGGAGACATCTAGGGGAAATAACAAGACTGATTTATGATTTAATGGACTATGCAGAAACCTATAAACAATGTGGCTTACTTTCAGTGATCGGCTTCGAAAAAGCCTCCGATTCTGTGGATAGAAAATTCATGCAGAATGACTTAAAACGAAATTATGGCCAGAGTATTCAAAATTGGATTACAGTACTTTTTGATGGGGCTGAATCTAGTGTTTTAGTAAATGGATATGGAAGTTCCTTCTTTCCAATAACAAGAGGTTGTCGCCAGGGGGATCCAGTATCTCCTTATTTCTTTATTCTGTGTGATTCTTGCACTACTTATTAGAAAAGATAAAAAATATTAAGAGTGTAAGTATGGGCAATATTATATAGAACATATTTTAGAGCAATTTGCAGATGACACTATCTTAACCCTAGATGGATCAGAAAAGTGACTACAAGCAGTTTTTAACATTTTAAGTTTTGTTTGCAAGATTTTCAGGACTCAAAGTGAATGCTGAAAAGACCAAATTATTTGGATTGGTTCTCCCCCAAAACAATCTCAGATAAAACTATGCAAGCATGTAAATTAAGACTGGAACCAGACAAAATTTAGACCTAGAAAATATGCAAGACCTGAATTATGAAAATAACTCATTTCAATTGAGAAGTAAATGAGAATGTGGTCAAGTAGAAATATAACTCCTGTGGGAAGAATTTTTTTTCAAATCTTTGCTACTTCCGAAACTAAATCACTTGTTAAGCATCTTACCAAATCCATCTATTCGAACCACAGACAAGTTCCCCCAAACATATTTCGCCTTTATTTGAAAAGGGAAAAGAAATAAGATAAGGAGAAGCACAATGAAAAATCAATTTCAATTTGGAGGAATAGGTGCACCTGACATACAAAATACTATCTCTGATCAAAAATTTAACTGGATAAGGAAAATAATACAAAATCCACAAAAATATAAATACATTAATTAAAGATGTCTTCCATCAGCTGACAGTGTTTGGTTGGCAGAGCCAGTCTTTATAAAGACAAATGTTTTACCATATGTCTCAAATATATTTTTGAGAGATGTACTCCAAGGTGGGGCTAACAGATTCTGTGTGATTCTTGCACTACTTATGAGAAAAGATAAAAATATTAAGAGTGTAAGTATGGGCAATATTATATAGAACATATTTTAGAGCAATTTGCAGATGACACTATCTTAACCCTAGATGGATCAGAAAAGTGACTACAAGCAGTTTTTAACATTTTAAGATTTTGCAAGATTTTCAGGACTCAAAGTGAATACTGAAAAGACCAAATTAATTTGGATTGGTTCTCCCCCAAAACAATCTCAGATAAAACTATGGAAGCGAGTTCCCCGAAACATATTTCGCCTTTATTTGAAAAGGGAAAAATAAATAAGATAAAGAGAAGCACACTGAAAACAAAAACAATATCAATTTCGAGGAATAGGTGCACCTGACATACAAAATACTATCTCTGCTCAAAAATTCAACTGGATAAGGAAAATAATACAAAATCCACAAAAATATAAATACATTATATTTATATATCTTCCATCAACTGACAGCATTTGGTTGACAGCCAGTCTTTATAAAGACAAATGTTTTACCATATGTCTCAAATATATTTTTTGAATGATGTACTACAAGGTGGGGCTAACAGATTCAGGGGATTCGACAATCTTGTTGAATTACAGACCAAGTTTGATATGAAAGTGGACTATTTAAGATTCCAGGGTTTGCGAGTTTCAGTTTATGATTATATGCTATAAACAAAAAGGCAGTAATCATTTTTATCAAGTTTTATTGGATGCAACCAAACCTCCTGAACACTTGAAATGGAAAAGGAGTTTAATAAAGAATATGATGACACTGAACAGACAAGTGTATATACTTGATGGCAAGAAGATGTACCCAATGTGTCAATTTAGAATGGATTAAGTTCAAAATTGTACATAACATTCTATTAGCAAATACAAGTTTACACAAAATAGGTTATGTTGACTCTCCATATTGTACATTTTGTGAAACAGTTTGACTTGAAACAATTGTCCATCTATTAGGTGAATGTAACTACACAAAAGTATTATGGAATCACTTGTCAGATTGGTTAAATACAGTCGCAGATGGGAGAATATTTTTACAAATGAGAAAAATATTCTCGGATTTGAAGGAAAGCAAAACCATCCTTTAAATGTGATCATTATGATTGCCAAGCAAACCATTTACAAATGCAGTAAAAATAAGATTAAACCATGTTTTAAACATGCTAAGAGAGTGGGTGAGTGAGTGAGTTCAGTTTTACGCCGGACTCAGCAATATTCCAGCTATATGGCGGTGCTAAGAGAGAGATACCGAATCATTATAAAGCAACAAAATATAACATAATGCCAAAACTCAAAGTTTTTCCAGTTTTGGTAATCTTTCCATACACTCTTTGCTGTAGTTTAAAAAACAACGTTCTAATCTTGCAGCAAAACAACGTTGTATTCGTAATTAGCGTATTTCTGTAACCATCACAACAATATTATTTACTGTTTGTCACAGACTAGAGCAACTGGTATGCTGATCAAATATGTATCAACATGTTGTTTCTACCTTACCATTGTACTCTATGCTGTATGTACATCACATCTGCAATAATGTCGCAGTAATATGTAAACGCTGAAATTCATTTGTACATTATATGTCTTTCAAATGCTCGTCAAACATGATGTGATCCTGCATTAGTAACACGGAACTGGGAAAGACTTAAATGAAAAAACCATATTCCAGTTAAATTGAAAAGGATCCTCACGGAGATATAAGATGAAAGAACCTGATGAGTGAGTGAGTGAGTTTGGTTTTACGCGGCTTTTAGCAATATTCCAGCAATATCACGGCGGGGGACACCAGAACACGGCCTCACACATTGTACCCATGTGGAAAATCGAACCGGGCTCTTTGGTGTAACGAACGCGAACCACAAGGCTACCCTACCGCCCCAAGAACCCGATGAAAATACAGACTTGCTTCACTGGGGGCTTTTGCATAACAGTGAGGGCTGGGTCTGACGGAAACTGATATGGTTCAGGGAGTGTGAGACAGAAAATGTAACGAACTGACTAGATTTACCAAAATAGACTTACATACATGTGTATTGTTCGCTGGAAAGAATAATTTCGGTCAATATTTTTTGCTTCGGCTCATTAAATAGACATGGCGGTGGGGTAGTCTGATGGTTAAAGCGTCCACTCGTCTGGCTGAAGATCCGGTTCGATTCTCCACATGGGCACAATGTGTCGGAATTGCTGGAATATTGCTAAAAGCGGCGCCAAACCATAGTCACTCACTCATTACACAGACATATATCTCTGGACTTACCGTCAAGGTTGACATCTATGGAGGCAATGTTGAGTTGGCCGATCTGACTCTCTGGCGTCTCCTTGACAGCCTGATCAAGGGCAAGCTTAATGGCGTTCCTAGTATCGTTGGTGCTCACACGAATAAACATGTTGCAGTTCAGTCGGAAATAGATATTGAAATCGGGGCCGCTGAGCAGGTGAGGAAAATAGGATAAAGAGACAATAAGCATGTAATCACCATACATACACGTTTTTGTCAATGGTTTCATACATTCCATAGCGAATGTTGTAATGAATTCATGTTTTCTTTCTTTTCACCCAAATATGCAGAACAAAGTGCTTCTACATTTTACACTCAAGGTACATTTAATAGGTAAGTAATTACATAGGGTAACCTGTGCCTTGTTATATAATACCGTCTTAGAACATACTGTCAGGAGTGAGTGAGTTTACTTTTACGCCGCACTCAGCGATATTCCAGCTATATGGCGGCGGTCCGTAAATATCGAATCTGGACCAGAGACTCCAGTGATCAACAGCATGAGTATCGATCGACGCAATTGGGATACGATGACATGTGTCAACCAGGTTAGCGAGCCTGGCCATCCAATCCCGTTTTGAGTTGCTGGAAAACAATTCTAGCCCGGATCTTCACGGGTCCATACTGATAGGAGATACAGTTGATGTACAAACGATACTTTTATACAATATATCTGTTTATTCACAGCAATTCAAGACAAAAGACAAATTTTGTTTACCTGAAACTTATTTCAGACAGCTCGAAAACGCCCAAATTATCCAATGCCCCTTTCACCTGCAATAAAAAAAACTGTATTCAGACATACATTTCTGTGTATTTAACTGTAGAGACGTATGTCATACTGCATGGATATCGTATGTTCCACAGTTACAGAACACAAAATACCACTAACACAGGAACCCAAAACAGAAGCCATTTTTATTTACAGCAAATAATGTGACAGTGACTGAGTTAGTTTTTTAGCAAATTCAGCAATATCACGACAGAGGGCTCCAGAAATGGGCTTTACACATTGTATCGATCTTGATAATCGAACCCGAGCCCTCTGGGTGACGAGGGAACGCGTTAACCACTAGACTACATCAGCGCCCCGCTTTTACAAGGAATCAGCTGCCCCGCTACTAAAACCAAATTATCATGTTACTATCCACAGCAAATAATATGAGAGAGAACCTGCATCTTTGTAGCAACAACACAAGTCCAGTTTAAGTCAGCTGTACCCGTTTAAAGGGTTACTAGTGACTGTGACGGGAAATGGCGACGACCGAACCAGCGCCAAGACATATCAAAGAAAATGAGTTAATCATATCTTCAATACGAATCTTTTGTGACCAAAATTTGTGTGTACGTCATGAAGAATATAGACCAGGTGTTAAAATAAATCTAGACTCACCGCCTCTGTTACACGTATTGCCATGTCACGGTAAGTCTTCGAATTTGTGTCGGCAAAGTCAGTGGTGTAGGCAACGGCAATGGTTGAGAACTTGAGGTAGAAAGTATAACCCTTCAAACGGCCTGTAATATAACATTAAAACAAAGTTATATAGTATGACCAGAAATTATTAAGAATTTTAGGAATATGTTTAATTGGATTTCTAGTTTTAACAACCTTAACCAGCTATCAAGTGCTTGGTTTCATTCAAGAGAGACAACTCCGTTAATCCTTTTTCATTAGTTTCTGAAGAGTTATCCCCCTTTGTATACTTGCTAGCAGACGACATTTTCAGTGCTCCCCAGTATGGAATATTTAGAGAAGAGGAAGTTGATTTTAGAGTGTTATAACAAGGACATCAGATCAGCTAAAGTGCTTTCAAGTAGAACAGGCATCCCTTTGTCCACTGTTTATCGTGTTTTGAAAAATATTGCAAATGGATATGGCATTGAGCCCCAGGGAGGCGCAGGTAGGCCCAGAAAATTGACTGTCGGTGACAGGAGGCGCCTTGGTATTCTTGTTTCTAAAAGCAAACGAAGAGTTTAGAAAACTTAAGGCTGGATATGATTGATAGAGGAACTGTGGCTGTCTGTAAGGAGACAAATAGAACTGAGCTGCATGCAATGGGTTGGCAGAAAAGTCGAGGAATTCCATCACCGATCATGAAACCTGAACAAAAGTAGCGAAGGTTGAACTGGTGCTTACAGCATAGATATTTTAACTGGGACAATGTGATTTTCTCAAATGAAAGTTCTGTGTGGCTGTTTCCTAATACACAGAAATTCTGGACCAAACAAACCGAAAAACCTTTGTATCAGCGCCCAAAGTATAGTCCGAAATTTAACGTGTGGGGTGGCATATCTGTGTTAGGGGCAAGCCTCTCACTCTGTGTATTTGAAGGGAATATGAACACTGAGCGGTACACAGATATTCTCGAGGGACATTTACTTCCATCTGCTCACGTGTTCTATGGCATTCACAGGCCTGTTTTCGGACACAAAATATGACATTATTAGATTGGCCAAGCTATAGCCCTGACCTAAATCCAATAAAAAAATGTTTGGGGACTTATGAAGGAAAGAGTCAATAAGAAAAATCTGACAAATATTGCTGAAATGAAAGAAGAGGTGGTCCGATATTGGGACAGCATGGACCACGACTTTCTAACTTCTTTGATCAGTAGTATGCCCCACCGCATTGAAGCCTGCATTGCTGCCCATGGTGACTTGACAACATACTAACTGTTCACCTGTCTTTGAATCTGGCGTTATGTTATGCTAATATTCACATTTAATCCGTGAGTAATGAGTGAAAAATATATAAAATTACAATCTTAAATTCTCAATAATTTCTGGTTGTACTGTATAAGTGAAGTACAAAGAAGATTAGTCATGCGCATTAAACATGGTAGCCACAGACAGTGTGAACAGTGGCCGTCCAGCAGTTGTTAACTGAAGCTCACCATCCAATAGTCTGATTCTCTTCCAATAGACAGTGATGTTTATCACACAATGGAATTTCGTTGGTAGATGTCTTTTCAGACAGGATACACTATGACGTACACTTTCTAATTTTGAATGTGCGTGATCACAAAGAAACATGCGCTCATGGCTCCTTTTGACACGCAAACAAAATTTATGAAAACCCGACGTTCCAGTATCTTTGCACTGCATGTTGGGCGGACAATGGCTTGCTACGTATTAGGTTTAAGTTGGATTATCTTCCAACCCTTCATAGGCATAAAGGCCCAGATCCAGGTAGACGCGACAAAATGACCGTGGCTTTTCGGACCATATCACAGATGGAAAAGCGTTGCTTTTAGAACCATATCACAGAAGGAAAAGCGTTGCTTTTCGGACCATATCACAGAAGGAAAAGCGTTGCTTTTAGAACCATATCACAGAAGGAAAAGCGTTGCTTTTCGGAGCGTTGCTTTTCGAACCATATCACAGAAGGAAAAGCGTTGCTTTTCGAACCATATCACAGAAGGAAAAGCGTTGCTTTTAGAACCATATCACAGAAGGAAAAGCGTTGCTTATCGAGTTTTAATAAATGTTTTACCAACATTTCTTTCACGTCTGTTGTCTGGTGGCCAAGCTGAAGTAGTGCGGCAGTGATGTATACATGCCCAGTGAAGCGCCGTGAAATCAGATGCATTTTCAATCCAAAATTGATACCATCTGATTTTATTGATTGACCAATCAAATTCGAGCATTTCACGTAGCCATGGTAGAATTCAAATTATGTCAATATAACAATAATCCTGCTATATGACGGCGGTCTGTAACTAATCGAGTCTGGACCAGACAATCCAGTGATCAACAGCATTGATCAACAGCAATTGGAATACGATGACACATATCAACCAAGTCAGCGAACCTAACCACCCGATCCCATTAGTTGTCTCTTACGACAAGCATGGTTACTGAACAACAATTCTAACCCGAATCGTGTAGTGGTTAGAGCGTCCGCCCGGAGTGCGGAAGGTCGCGGGTTCGATCCCCGACTGGGTCATACCAAAAGACGTTAAAATATGGTACTTGTTGGTCCCTGCCTGGCGCTCGGCGTTAATGGGTACAATAAGGACTGGTCGGCTCGGAGTCAGTATAATGTGTCTGAGTGGGGTATTCATGCTTCACTGCGGCATGGTATCACAGTGGGCTAGCACTATTAAACCAGCTTCAGTCTGGGCTAGTACAAGCAGCCGCACATACACATACACACGCATGCACGTCGTCATATGAGCGAAACATTCTCAAGCACGACGTTAAACCAAATTTCACCTCACCTCACCTCTAACCCGAATCGTGACAATAAAATATAATATGATCGGAGATGATATGTAATCTTGAACACGTGCCGTAATACCACCATGTCATGTTTAATTGGCTCAACGTTATATCGTGTTTATGGGATTACATTTCCATAAACCCTTCATTTCCATACCGCGGGCAGTGTGAGGTAACAGTTTGCGATTTACAGAGGCGCTAATGATGTCTGTGGTGGCTGATTAGGGCCGTGTTATCGCTTTCTCGTCTCGTGATATCGCTTTCTCGCTTTCTCGCCTCGAAATTTAAGGCGAGAAAGCGATGGCCCTAATCAGCCACCATAGATAAACAAGTGTTTTTGTTCCGTAAAGAAAAGAAAAAATGAAACGAAATCCGCAGACCATGCTGACTTAATGCGATTGCTAAGCAACTAATAGCAAAACTTTATTTTTATCATCTGCGTTTTTTGTCGCAATCTTCAACAAATACATTAATAATGCTAGGGATAAAAACGTAATCGTAAGAATGATCAGGCTGCCTTGGGATCATTAATAGTCAGATAAGGAGATCTAAAATTTGTTATTTCGTTATGTCATCGTCTCGTTGAATACATATTGTCCAAATGGGCTAGCATGACGTTCAATATATACTCTCCCAAAAAAGAAACGCATAATGAAAATAGCAATTTCATGTAGCAATGAATTCAAACGTGATTCATTTTACAAAAGGTTTTGCTCTGTTTATGAGTCCTATGGTGTTTATGTTTTGAAACATCACAACAAAACGCACCATCCGTAAAATACCCGTATTTAACAGCACGATTTTCAATTTCGGCGTGTAGTGTCACAGAATACACAATTCACATGCAATGCAGTGAAAGTTAGTCTCAGTGATGGGTATAAAAGGTTGATCGCTGTCTGTCGATTATTCACTGTATTTCGAATATTGTTGACGAATGCAAAATGCCACGTCTAAGTGAAGCCAACCGTCATATCGCCATTGGTTTGCTTGAAGCTGGCCAGTCTCAACGTGCAGTTGCCCGAAGCATGAATGTTCACCAAAGCACCATTTCACGGCTCTGGGAGAGATATCGCCGGCAGAATGCGGTAGCAGATGCCCCTCGTAGTGGGCGACCTCGAGCGACCACTGCGGCGCAGGATCGCTACATCCGGGTACATCACCTGCATCATCGAACAGCTACGGCGACCAGTACCGCTCGAAAAATACCCGGACTGAGGAGGCGTTCTGCACAGACCGTCAGGAACAGGTTGAGAGAGGCTGGTTTCCGTGCCAGAAGACCTTATTTTGGCCCTGTGCTTCGACAACAACATCGTCGACATCAAGTTCAATGGTGCACCAACGTTCAGGCCTGGAACCTACCGAATTGGCGTAGAATCTGGTTCAGTGGTGAATCACGATTTCTATTGGAACGACGCGATGGAAGAATGCGGGTGTACAGACGTCACGGCCGGGCCAGTGCTATGATGTGGGGAGCGATCACCTGCCGTAGGAGAAGTGATTTGGTGATGATCCAGGGCAACCTGACAGCTCAACGGTACTGTGACGAAATCCTACGCCCACACCTCCTTTCAATCATTGATCGCCAGAGGGAGTTGTTTCAACAGGACAATGCCAGGCCCCACACAGCACGTCACTCTAGGGACTTCCTCCAGAACCACAACATAAAGGTGCTCCCCTGGCCCTCAAGATCACCGGACTTAAACCCGATCGAACATCTGTGGGATGCCCTGGACAGACGGGTGCGACGCCGTAACCCTCAGCCCCAGACACTTCAGCAACTCGCACAGGCACTACAGGCAGAGTGGGCTGCGATTGGGCAACACGTGATTCTGAGACTAATTCGTTCGATGCCGAGGCGATGCCGTGCTGTTCTGGATGCCCACGGTGGTCACACGAGGTATTGACTTCAGCGCCACCACACGTCTCCATATGGCACTCAAACTGACTTTCCTCGAGTTGGTGCCAAAGACGGTTAAGTCTGCATTCCCAGTGTGCAATTTCGCTATATTTCATTGACTCATAAAGCCTACAAGATGTTTCAAAATAAACATAAAAATACAGTTGAAATTCCTATTTGCGTATATTTATCAAATAGTGAACATATAAGATTTTTGATAGGTGAGCGTATCCTGCTGCACAAACTTCATATGACGTTCCCCGAAAATATCGTTGACAGAACATGCATGAAATGTTGACATCTATGACAAACCAAGTGTAGAAAACATTAAAATTATTTTCCATGCCTCAGAAATTGTAATATTGCAGTTTAACTACTGACTGACACAAAACAGTTGAACTTAAAATCCAGCAGGAATATTGCTGGGTGCGGCGTAAAACAAAGTTGAACTTTTATTAAACTGTAAAGACGCCATGACTACAGTTAATTAACTCACCTCCATAACCGTCGTCATTGCACGTCGCTCCCAGGCAACAATAATTGCACGTCAATGTTTTTTCTACCACGTTCTCCAGTTTACATTTCTCCATGTTCTTTATTTCCTGTCTCAGACATTCTCGGTACTCGTCACAGGTCCTCTTCACCGTCAAACCACTACTCTCATAGGTCAAGGTCGTCCTGCATACAGGGTGCTGTCCCTGCAGGAAAGGAAAATGATTTTAGACCGGTGCCTGACGAAATCCCATATTTCAAATTGGTGAACACAGCTTCCGTCTCGCCAACGGTTGAATAAACACATCCCCCCCCCCCCCCCTCCCCCCAAAAAAAACAAAAAAAATTATAAAAAAATAAAAAATAAATAAATTATAAAAAATTAATTTTTTTCATATATATGTATATATATATATAAATAAAAAACTAAAACTAAACTAAAAATAAATAAGTAAGTAAGTAAGTAAATAAATAAATAATAAATACATACACACACACACACACACACATATAATACATATATATAAATAAATTGATTAATTAATAAACCCAAACAAAATAAACCAAAACAATAACAACAACCAAACAAAAATAAACCTCTCAATAATTAGAATGTGTATTTAACACATTTTACGTTGCCAGCTCTTCGCTAGGGCTAACAGGGTACAATCTTGAGGGTCCCCATAGCTTCAAGGCAGTTTCATTCTACTAGGACATCGTAATACAAATAAAAGCGACAAAACCCTTTCCACATCCATAAGAAATCTCTGCTTAAAGCAGACTCGATTGTACAATTGTGACTATATCATGGGTATGTATTTGTTACAACAGTATTACAGCTGTAAGATGTTGTTTGTAAACATCTGATACGATGACAGATCATGTGTTTATGGATCACAATGAAAGAGAGATGACACCAGGTGTCCGCGAAAAGGTGAGTGTATCCCGTCTCACCGGTGGCACCCGTCATAAACATATGCTAAGCCTAGTCATTTGTTCCCCTGAAATAATTCGGTAACGTATGTATAAGTCAAAATAGGGAATTGCACCGGATTCATCAAATTTGGAAAGTTCCTTCATATATCTACCGTCAAACATCTTGAAAGCTTTACTGTGGCCTTTAATGCTGTAACCTTGATCAAACAACTTCTGAGCAAGTGGTATGACGCTCTTTGAAATCCTGATACACGCTCAGACGTTGTAGGTGTAAACACCAAAGGCTGGAGCTGTTGGAATATTGCTCGACATGAAAAGGAAGTTGACTATTGGATAAATGAAATCATCCCTTTTGTCATACAGTCTTCTGGAGAGTTTTGGTCACTCTGAATCCTTAAACAGAGATCTGAATATGAAACAGTTGAGGCAGCCTCTCTTGTCTCCCTATTTTCAAGTTCATGTGGGTAGATCAGTTGAAGGCAATTGGCTATATAATGGTTATTGAACGATATTAGATCATCGATGTACGGGAAGCTTAAGTTAAACTTCTTGGCCAAATTACCTTGTTTTGATTTTGCCAACCAAAGCAGAAATTACAATTCACATTCACGAAACAGATCCAGCATTTCTAATGTTGTTTTCTCGGTAAACTTCAAATGACATTTGCTTTCATTTTTTACAAATTGTCTTGAACCTCTGAAGATAGATATGTAGGTATATCTTTTTTCACCACGTTTGTTTACAGATGCCCCATGGATCAAGGAATGAAGCTTTTCTTACGTTTCTTGTGTGGGATAGTGGTACGCAAAGTTGAAAAATCAAATGTTTCGACAGAACGGTCAGTTTCTGAGATTGTAAAATGTAAGCAAATCCTTTGAGTTTCTAAGAATCCACATGTTATTTATTCCGTTTGTCTCAAAAACGTTCTGTGAATATTGAGAAAGTCCTTCCCTGATAGTATTAAGGATTTTGGCTAATCTTTGAGACAGGGATTTGCTGGAACATTTGGTGGAACCAGCAATATATCTCTCCTTTGTGCGTGCCGATTTTATGTAGTTTGTAATCCAGCACAAAAGAAGAAAGGGGGGGGGGGGGTGTCTTCAGGTGTAAGAGTTAAGCCAAACGTTTATAGCATGGTTGAATGGTTTAGACAGATTTCTTCCTTAGTTAACATACTGGACTTATACGTGGCATTATTATCCCCCGCTACGAAGTGGGAGGTGGGTATTGGTTTGATCTCTGTCCGTCCGAGATGATGGGGACAGATTTTCTCAGAAACCGTTTCGATGGGGAACTGTGTTTTTTGGTCATGAATGCTTTGATGGAGTTTGAAAACGGAAACCGTGTTACAATTCTTTACAGAATTATGGCCCTTGTCATGCGTTTTATGACTTAGTATGCCGTATCCCCAATGAGGATAAATGTTCTCAGAAAATGTGTTTTCAGGACATGAATGTTGTAGTGGAGTTAACAACAGGAACCAAATAGGAACAGAACAGTTTGGCGGGTGATATTGATGGCTGTGTCTTCTTGTTTGATACGCCACGTATATCAAGCTCTTTGATCAATGATGTCAACATATAATGGTTATGTTATTCAAGGCCTTGTCAGTGGGAATATCTACAAACATTTCATTCACGGCAGTAAGACTTTGGATGACAGATGGCTGGGACAGAACGGGTTTATTCTGTTTCCTCCTTTCAGTTTGTGCATTCCACCAATGACAACATTACGTACTGACTTAACCCACTCTGAAAGACATTCCACAGGTTCTTCTTCTCTTTTGACCCATTTCTTGGCATATGTCTCGACAGCATCCATAATGATTTCTAAGTTGCAATTCCAATTGGCAGGAGGCTGTTCACGATATTAAGGTCCATATTTAAATAGTTGGCGAAGGTTGCCATTGTCAGCAATGGAGAAGTCACCTGTGATTATATGTTTTTAAGGTTGGTAGAGATCTTGGAAAGCCACATGAAGTGTCATTTACATCGTGATCTGCCAAGTCCACGTTCTGCAGCACTTTCCTATAACTGAACAACCTGGATGAAATTGTGTTCGTATAGGAAAACGATAGTGTTGGTCTTTGACTGATTCGGGTGAGTCTGTTTCTTGCTTCGTCAAACCTTTCGAACCAACATCAGAAAACTCTACTCGATATTGTGAGCATTGGCTGTCTGCAAAAAATTGTTGAAATCGTTTAATTTCTTTCAAGGACAGATACTATAGTCTTGTTCTCAATTTGTGCAGTCCCACTGGTTCCTGCAGGAGAGGCAACAACTCATCCAAGTCAATGGTTTCATTTGGCATCGGCAATATTTCAGCCCTATCGTGACTAAAACCAGTTATAATTTCACAATTTCAAAGACTCATCTAAATCTCAGATGTTCCTGTTACACAGTTAAACTATTTATGTCATTAAAGATATAAAATACCAATAGTTGTGACACCTTTTCTGTTGCATATATCCTAATTTTTATATCGTATAACACAATTACAGCATTGTTTAAATTCATTACAGTTACTTATAACACAGTACTGATTCCATTAATATTTGACCGAACATGTACCAAAAGACTACTTTTTGTATTTTATGTATTAAGAATATTGGCAAATGAGTGTACATGCAGTGTAATTTCTAACAAACCTGAAACTATTAATGTCCAAGATATTTTTATGGATTAAACGTCTTCGTAATTTCTCTCACGACGTTTCGAGACCATTCCAGGTCCCTTCATCAGGTGAACTGAGTGGACATCAATGTACAACTTCTAAATGCCACTGAAAGACATCTGAAACTATTAGTTGAAATTTAGCAATAATCGGCGCAGAACAGAAATGCAGTTTGATGACGATGTGTTAGCGTGATGTTGGAAATACACAGGCTGGAATTATCCATTAACTAAGGACCACAATCAGTACGAATGTTGGATCAAAACAGTGTATGAATTAATTTGGAAAAGTCAGTGGCCAGGGGAGCTAGTGAATTAAAAATGTTGCTCGCCCACATCATACTTCACTGGCCCTGCAAAATATCAGCATCAAATGCACATCTGTCAGAATTGGTATGATCTTTGATATTTGAAGATGGTAATATCTACTCATGGAAACGAATAAGTGAACACGTGAAAGTAAAGTGTTCCTTTATTCTTTTCCAGGTTTCTTCACAAGGTATGTATTGCACTGTGGGTGAATGTCTGGAAATGAATAAAGGAACACTTGCACTTTCATAGTTCCTTTATTTGTTTCCATGAGTATATAAATCAAACAAACACAAAACACCCAGATTTGAGATTTTCAGCAAGGATGGCTTTAACAATATCACTGGCCCTATTCGCAATCAGCTAGCATTTGGCTAGCGGGCTATTTCGGACGCTAGATCCAAATGAGCAGATTTTGGCACAACGAAAGGACTGAACAGTATGCAGCGTTCACATAGAATTACCATGTACTTGAGCACTGGGCCATGTTGTATTCCGCAGTTAATAAAGAATAGTTTCCCAAGTCCAAGATATTCATTTTTTCCAAGGCCCCGTCATTTCGCTGCTTAGCTACATTTTGAAGTGAGAGTGCCTGGGCGTGTTGGGTTTTACGCCGCTTTTAGCGATATTCCAGCAATATCACGACGGGGGACACCGGGAATGGGCTTCGCACGTTGTGCCCATGTGGGGTTTGGAGTGAAGAAAGTTGTTCTTATATATATAACGTATGTCCGACTTTGTGTCCACTATCCTTGGTAGGTAGGGTAGAGAGTTCGGTCCGAGAAAAATACAAATCTATAACAACATGATTACGATGTTTCAATGACGCTTTAGAACACAACACGATCTGTACATTGTTTTTGTTCTGCGTGAGTTGGCAAACTCGTGCAACACGGATGTATACTAACTAACCCTACAGAAACAGAATTTGATTATTTTCACCCTTTTCTCTTTCTAAACACATTTTGAAATTCGTTCATGGCAGACTTACACATCGATATAACTTATATACCATTAATACCGATGACCAGGTATCACTGATCATGTGTAATTTCATCCTCGATAATCTCTAGGGTATACGTTACGATCACTCTCCACTATGCCCTGGATGCATCCACGGCTTGGCCCCATAATTATATTACCTCCTTTGGCCGGCTTTTTATCCAAGCGGGTGTCTACGCTGGGAAATTGAGCGAACCAATCACAACTCACTTTCGCTTCATAAATTATCTAACCGTTTAAACTTGGCAACACAATTGATGCAGAGGTACTCTGAAAGAGGTAGACGG